TTTGTTGTCCAGGCTAGAGTGAGTGCCGTGGCGTCAGCCTAGCTCACAGCAACCTCAAACTCCTGGGCTCGAGTGATCCTTCTGCCTCAGCCTCCCAAGTAGCTGGGACTACAGGCATGTGCCACCATGCCCGGCTAATTTTTTATATATATATATCAGTTGGCCAATTGATTTCTTTCTATTTATAGTAGAGACAGGGTCTCGCTCTTGCTCAGGCTGGTTTTGAACCCCTGACCTTGAGCAATCCGCCCGCCTCGGCCTCCCAAGAGCTAGGATTACAGGCGTGAGCCACAGCGCCCGGCCCATGGCTTTCTTTTTTAATTCACTCATAAGCAGATGATGATGACTCAGTAAAACTCAAATGTAAGCTTCACATTTCACTTCTGTTGTATTTTTAGAATAATGACCCTTGGGTTAATCTCCATGATAGACTAGAGAATCATTTTAATAGAAGAACTCACAAGGAGACAAAAATGAAAAAGTGTAATGTGACAAAAAGAACCCCATCTAAGACATATGCTGATCCAAATTTCAGATGTTCTTTATAATTTGAGCGATGTCACTTTACCTCACTTATATTTATTTTCTCCCCTGTAGCATGTGGGGCTTAAACAAACATTCAAGAAAAGGCTAAATTGAAGTAAGCAGTTCCTGAATTTGCAATTTATTTGACTTTGTTGTCAATGCTGTAAATATCATTTAACCACTGTTTTTCTAATTGGCATATGGTTATTAGATCTCAGAAATTAAATGCTTTTTTGTATATGTATAGTATTGTTAGTTATAAAATATGGACTGTTCATTCAATGCATATGCTATCTTTCTTTTTTCAAACCTTTAGAAAGAGGTTTTCTTTTCTTCGTTTTATCGACTGACAAGCAGTTGTTTTTGTTTCTGGGATTCTTTTCTATTGACAATTCTGTGCCTTCTTTCCATTTAATTTTATTTGCCATTATGGCACACTAAGTAATTAACTCTGCATTTTAGAAAATTTAAAAGCTAAAGGGACTGATTTGAAAGCATTGTTGAATAGTTTTCTTATTTATAATAGTTCAAGCTGTTTTAAGTTTTAACACAGACTTTTAAAATGTGAGAACCAGTTGTGTGTCTGGATGAATATTATGTCTGAGAGAAAAACAAAATTGTCTCTAGGAGACTAAGAAATCAAGGCAGTGTAAAAAACTAAAAGCAGAAAACAACACCAAAACTATAGTCTTCCCAATTTATTTTTATAAAAACAATATGAATATTTACATAAACCTCCAAAGGAGAAATTGTTCTCTAGTTATACATTAGGCTTAATTTGTGGACAATCAAGTTATTCAAGGGTCTTTTTTCACACTAAATTCTCCTACCAGGCAATCTGGAGTATAGACAGAGTTTTAATTATCAAATATAGGTGACTCAGATTTATATCTTTAGACCAGACCTTCCTGGGAGCTACAGACTCCTCATTCCAAATGCTTACTCTGTATTGCCATTTGTATTTCTCAAAGGTATGTCCAAAGTGAAACATTCTTTTCTTATCTAAATCAATTACTTCCCTGATATTTATCAAAAAGTGTCCAAACATACAGATATGTCTAGGATCCAGGCACTGCATTAATTACTACAGTACATCAATGGACAAGACAGTGCCTCCGTTTATGGGGGCCCAATGATCAGAAACCAGAAATGGAAATGAAAGTATTTCCATATCTAATTTATCCACAAGTCATGCCAATATTATATCAATTCATTTATTTTTTAATGCTATGACTATCTAGTCCAAGCTACAGTTTTTATCCAGTGTACCACATACAGCCTCTAAAGGGTATTTCTCACACCTGCTCTGCACTTTTCTAAGTCAATCTCTACAACATAGGTATAGTAGTCTTCCAAAACAAAAATATTTTTCTTGCCACAAATATATTCTCCCTTCTTAAAACCCGTCAGTGGCTTTTAATTGCTTTTAAAACTACAGTTTTTAACAGAGCCCTTAGGGCCCCAAATGATCTGGCCTCTACCTTGCTAGCCTCACCTCCTGCTTCTCTTCCTCCTGCATCTCTGCGCTTCAGCCCTATGTTCATTTAAAAAATTATTCAAAGTGTCCCTTAGTACACTCTTACTTATCTTTTGTTCTTTATTTCAAACCTCCCTTTTTCTGTGAGCCTTCCTTAATCTCTCAGACGAGATCAAATTATCATGATATGCATTTATTACTTCCTGAACTGCACAAAACATGCTCCATATGATTGTATAATATTTTAGTTAATATCTACCTTTTCTAATGGTATACAAGCTTCATAAAGCAGAGATTTTAATTTGTTATTTTCAATTTTATATCGTCTACATTTAGAACAATGTCTAGATGTACATACTGACACCCTAACAACGTGTCATATTACACATATGAGGACCTGCAGCAGACGCTGTCAGTCATATCCTCTTAACCTACCCTAGGACAACTGCACATTGTTCCTTTATATGCTTTCAGCCTTCTGTGTTTCTTGGCCCAATGACATCTTCTAGCTGCAAGAGCATGACTACCAAAAGGGAGGCCAGAAATGATGGAGAGTTAATGTCCCTGGAGTGACATTCAGCCAGTGAGGGATGGGAATCTCAGCATGTGTTCCACAAAGACTCTCAGAGGTCCCTCAGTAGGACTGATATGGAATTGCCTACATAGTAACTTGCTCATCTATTCACCTTTTATTAACTTTTCCTCCCTTCCCTTTCTCATGTTTTCACCAGTGCTTCCTGGCATCAGCTTCTCTAAAGAACTTGCATTCATATCATACATTCATTCATATCAAACTCCAGGGGCACTATTCAAGTGGGACTATTCACATTGTATTCTATCTTTCAAAGGGTGCCACTTACACTAGAATATGTGAGTGATAATTATACAAGGCATTATTTCAGGAAAATATTTCTATAATAACAAAGTCTTAGTTAAAAACTGTCAACTAGTGTTTCTTGAATGCTTTCTGTATTCTAGGAGTAGAAGAAAGGGAAGGATGAATGAAAATTAAGTCCTATGACTTTGACCTCATTGAATTTATGGTTCTGTTGAACATAAAACAGTTTAGAATAGAAAATAAAACATTCTATACCCAAGTGCTAGTTTTGTCCTCAAAGATGATAATTGCAACTTGAGAGAATCAGAACAGAAGCCAGTAGGGTTTATCTCTTTAATACATTGTCCATTTCATCCTAAGCATTAAGTAGGAATATATAATGTGACTTTTTAACATCATTTATTGTGTCTTGTCACATTCAACAGTGCCATTAAATTAAGAATGACACAAAATAGCCTATGGAGATGTGATCACCAGAGTTCACCCAGGTTTCTGATTCTTCCTGCCCTCTTGAATTTTTTGAATTTTCTTCTCTGTTGTTCTTCAGTATTCCATTTATTACAGCTAGTATTTATTGAATAATGAATATGTATTAGTATCCATGCTAGGCCCTGTAGAAAATTCAAAGTTACCTGTGAAATATGTCAATTTCGTGAGGGATGTGGATAACTAATTATCATCACATAAGTGTGTATTTGAAATAGCAATGTTTAGAGAAATGGAGAGAAAGAACATGGTTTTGAGGACAAACAGAAATCTTTCTAAAGAATGAACATTCTAGCTGGGTATGGAAGGTTGTGATGCAGGATTATGACAGTAGTAAGTGAGGTCATGTGGTCTCTAGGTAAAGGTGGGGGCAGTAAAAGTAATGCATAAGTAGGATAGTGCAGCCTGGAGCAGTGTGGGGTGGCCAGAACACATCGGGTGTGTGGTTTGCATAATGGAAGGAGAGAGTGGATAGTTGGGTAGGAGCCTGGAGTGAATACCAAACTCATAGGGATCACCTTTATTCCATAGTCAAAGGAGTAGGGCCACATCAAAAGCATGCAGGCAAAGGAATTTTAATAGGAGGGATGTTTTGGTTGTAAATAATAGACACTTGGCTCCAGCTGGTTTGAAGAAAGAGGGAGAATTTACCCTAACTAGTCTGAGCAAGAAGGAAAGGTATCAGGAGTAGGCATGGCTAGGGCCAGGTACTCAGAGGATTTTGTCAGGAATCTTTCTCCACCTCTGGGCTCACTTTTCCTCTAGGTTGTTTTCATTCTCAGGCAGCAATATGACCATCAGGAACTCTGGGGTTATATCCCCAACAGCTTTCAGTGGAGAAAGAGATTCATGTCTTTTTACTTTAGGGAAAACTATAATAAAATTAAAAAAAAAACAAAAAAACAAGAACAAAACTCAAAAAACTACATGGCCTTAAGCCTTATGACTCATTGGCTTAGATTAATTCATATGCCCATTCTGAACCAATTATGGTGGCTCAGGAAGAAAGCCTAGCTATATAATTTGTGTGTCCCAGTGCAAAATGAAAATATGAGGGCTCTTGTTCAAAAAGTAAGAAAAGAGTAATGTTAAAGGTAGTAAAATATAAATCTTATCTCTTCTAGGCTCATTCTCAACTTTTCATGCTGTTTTTTATTTGCTATTTAATGTCATTCTAAATAAATAAAATTTAAATTTTTAAATGATTAACATGGATTTTACAATTTGTCTTTATATTATACAATTCCAGTTGTAAATTGCATTTAATTCATATACAAAATCATCAAAATTACAAAATTTATATTTTGTAGTTTGTCCATGCAAATGTATTTTGTTCTTACCAGAACAGTGGAGAAACTGCATCATAATTACTTCACTTCTTTTTTTTTTTTTTGAGACAGAGTCTCACTTTGTTGCCCAGGCTAGAGTGAGTGCCGTGGCGTCAGCCTGGCTCACAGCAACCTCAATCTCCAGGGCTCAGCGATCCTACTGCCTCAGCCTCCCGAGTAGCTGGGACTACAGGCATGCGCCACCATGCCTGGCTAATTTTTTGTATATATATATTTTTAGTTGGTCAATTAATTTATTTCTATTTTTGGTAGAGACAGGGTCTCGCTCAGGCGGGTTTCGAACTCCTGACCTTGAGCAATCCGCCCGCCTCGGCCTCCCAAAGTGCTAGGATTACAGGCGTGAGCCACCACGCCTGGCCTACTTCACTTCTTGATATGTCTCCATTCTATCAACACTTTCTACATTTGGCTGATGAGTAAGGAAGGATCAAAAGAAAAATGAGTTTAAAATCTTTCATTTTTCTTCTAGAATGTCATCATTTTCAGCATAAGTGGTTGCCTAATACACTAAAGTTACTCTAAAAAAAAATGGATATGATAGGGTTTTCTGGTCACCTGTGTTTCTTAGAATGTCATTGTCTTCTTTCTCTATTGAAGGAAGTTTTGTTTAAGAGGAAAGTGTGGCTTTCAGAACTCCCAGTTACTCAGTTTTAGATGCCAATATTTACCCTCTGCTTGCTTTGAATCTCACTGAACTCTAATGTATGAAATTTTGTGTTGATGGGGCCTTGTGGATGCTATATGCAAATGTTATAAGTGAATGGGGTGAATCCACAGAATCCAAATGAATGTCCAGCCCAAGAATAATTGGAAAATTTTCCTTTCAAAATACTTCTTTATTACTTGCTTTACTTTTTGGAAAATTCATTTTTATAAGGAAAGAAGAATGTAATCTATCTACATCTATTTTCAGAACCTATGCAATCCAGAACTTGTGAATAATTTTAAACAGGTAATCTGGTGATTGTGACTGGAGATCACTGTGTCTATAATGTAAACTCCAAAGGAAATTGTCTTCAGTATGTTGCGGATGGTGCTTGGTGGTGTGGAAATTTGATTCCACGTGCACAAGTTGTATAATCACATGACTATGTGTATGTGCCCTTGTTATTTGTCCAAGACCAGAAGACTAGAAGATGCAATCTTATTATTTGTATATCTGATAATAATACAAAGAATAATATATGAAACAATTCATGCTTATTAAGTATTTGATGACTATTGAATGAGTATCATATTGCATGATTGGTATTCCTTAGTTTTTACTCAGAGGGGGTCTGTTTTCCAGAGTTAAGTAGCAGTGACAATAATACCTAGATGTGACATTCATTTGGAGATTTTAAAAAATTGTTTCATGTTGTCATTCTGAGTAATTTGCCTGGGTGTCCACTGTTCAGGGCTCAGCTTGTAACAGTGCATCTGAGGACTTTCCAGACTTTTGGAAGAAGGTCATTTTTGAAAGGTTAAAATATCCCCTGGCTCACCTACTGCATTCTATGAAAAAGAAAATTTAGTCAGAAAAAAGATCGGCCACCCTTTCCTCCTTGTACTTCCTCACCCCAGTGTTTTTGCCTCATTTTTCTCTCGCTTGGAATGTTCTCTCTAGATATACAAAAGGCTTACAACTCATCTCTTTCAGGTCTTTACTCAAATGCTATCATCTTGGTGAGGCTTTCCCTGAGCACATTACTTAAAATTGAAGCTCTACCCCCCCCCCACGGCATTTCTATTCCCTTTCCTTTTTATTGTTCTTCAAAACACATCATTTGCTTCAGAATATGTATTACTTATTAATTTTTATGTGTTGTCTCTAGATACTAGAATACACACCCAATAGATCAAATGCTTGATCTATCTTATTTATCATTATATCTTGAGTATCTAGAATATTTCTGTCATGTTATGCTTAATAAACATTTGTTAATGATATCGTCATTGAATTGGAAAATATCATGCCCACTATGAAGATTGTGACAGCTCATGATAGGCCATAGACCACATTTGGAGAATTATTGCCTGATAAAGCACCAATTTATTACTATATTAAAAAGTTTTTTCCAAGTCCCCTTGGATTTGCATCTTTTGACTCTTTCCTTTAGATTTGAGAAATTCTCTCTGTCACTAATAGTAATCTGAGCAGTCACTTTCACCAGGGACTGCTAGTACACATGTTGGTCTTTTCTGGTTCATGGTCCATTCTTATGAGATTAGGATTGAATGGGCTAGCACCTGTGAAAAATAAAAGTAGATTAAAAAGATTGAATTGTGACAGAATATTCTTAATCACCAATTAAAATGAAACCATACTTATTCTTTATAATTCAAGTTTTGTTTCAATTTACTAAGTTGAATTTACTTTCTGACTTCTATTTTTTTCCTTTTAGCATCTCTTTACATGTCCAGGGTGATATGAATTGAAATCGATTTAACCCCACAGAGCTGGGATTATAATGATGAATTTTCTATAAAAAGATACAAGTGGAATAGGAAAAGATAGTTCATGAAGTGAAATAGCATGTTGAAGGGGTAGTTTCTACCAATAACTAATAAGTAATGAGCATGTACTATATATTAAGTGCCTTGGTAAGTGTATATATACATGTATGTATATATATTTTGTCAGTGAGTTCACACAACTGTATGAGATTAGTATTATTATTTTCATTTTGCTAATGTAAAGCTGAGGCTCATGAGGATTAAATTGTTTATAATAAAAAAGCTAGTAATTAATGAATCTGAAGTTAAACTCCATGTCTGCTTTGAACCAAAGCTCATTCTCTAACCACTATATATAGGACTGCCTTATAAAATTTAAATTTTCTAGCAGCATAAACAGAAATAGATTTCATTGATTGGTCAATTCTCCAGATAGGTGGTTGAAGCCTCCTATATTGACATTCAGTTAGTGCTTTGTACTTTTCAAAGTATTTTCATATTCTCTCTCTGTCTCTCCATCTCTCTCTTTATCTCTATGTCTCTCTGTGTCTCTGTGTCCCTCTCTCTCTGTCTCTCTCCCCCAAAATGTATTTATGTTATGTTATTTTTTTGCTAGAAGCTACTGTTTATTTGGTTTTGATGATTGAAAAGACCAGTTTGCAATTGCTGTCTGAGATATCCTTGCAATGAATGGAATACATGGATACTCTTCAGGTCTGTCTCTTTTCTCTTGACTATAAATTGGCTGAAATGAGACAGCATTATTTTATTAATAAAAATTTGATGGTAATTGGGACAGGAGCTAGGCTATGTTCAAATGAAAAACACCTTTTGATATGCAAATATATTCTTCCTTAGGAAAATTAATCACGTACATATGGTTTCAGGGGAATATTTAAATGACTTAAGGCAGTAGTCTTCAAGGACCTTAAAAGCCTCCACGTACTTAGTTTTAAAAGTACAACATTAAACAGCAGAATAGACCCTCTGTGAGCACATTTACTTAGAAACTTTATTGTTCGGATTTGAAAACTGATGCACAGAAGGTTGACTTGTGCAAAATCACTGTAAGTGGCTGAGTGAGGTCTGAACCCAGATCTGCTGGTTTCCTGTCTAAAGCCCATTGCTCCAAATCACAGGAACATAAAATGCACAAACAATACTTGCAAATCCGAACATAATTCTATAAAATAGCATGATAGCAGCATTGAATTATTATATCTAATTCTAAATACTATGTAGGATTTCTCTTAAGATTTTTATAATACTAATGTAGTATTTCTCTTATGATTTTTATAATTTCCCCTAATTTGCATAGTACCCTATCCTCTGTTTGTTAGAAAATGTGGGGGATTGAGTTCACTGCCTCTACTACTACCAGTGCTGTTGCTACTGCTACTTCTATTGCAAGTGAGCCTTTCTTGAGTGGCTACATGAGCTAGGCACCGTGAATACCTAACATAATTATCAGTTGGGTCAGTCAGGAAAATAGATACCACTCTAAATATTTTGAGAGGAAAGGAATTTAATGTAGGGCATCACTTGCATACAAAGCCATTGGACAGTCTCAAAGAGTGAGGGCCAGAAAATGTTATCACTAATTTTCTATTTGCAACAGATTTTTAGGGGATCAGGAAATTGCTGTTTTTGCCCATGTTAAGAAAATACATACAGCTTGTAGTGACAGGGAAAGGGACTCAGGGGAAAATACCCAGAGGCCACTTTAAACTTCATGTCTGCCAAAGATCACACAATTGCCTGTTACTGCCAGAGGAAGAAAAATATGCTTCTGGCTGTTTTCTGTTTTCCCAAACTCACCCAAATGGGTAGAACCTAATCTGCATCTAGAATCCTGTTGGCAAAGAAGTCTGGGAAATATATAGCAGTCCCCAAGCTTCTAGTCTCTGCTATGAAAGGAGAAACATAGAAGGGGATGAAAAGGCTGCCAAATCTCAACAGACAATTTATTAGATTATTTAATTCTTGTTTAATTAGAATTCTCATTCAGAATTCTTATTAAATTAGAAGTCTCTAATTTAATTCTCCTTTAATTCTGTAAGTAAGCATTATGCATGAGGAAACCTGAAACTTAGAGATAATTAAGGAACTTGTGTAAGTAGCTCTGGATTGCAGAATAGGCAGGCTGACATATGTTTGGTGAAGCAGAGATGCTCCTAAAAGATTAATGAAATAATTTGTCATTTGATATTTCTAAAAGAACTATCAAGGCAGTAATCATAGGAAACACCAAGGACTTTATTACTGAATTTCCTTACTCTTATTTCATGATTCTATCATCTATTTATATATCTATTTAGAACTATACAAATAAAATGTGAGAGAAGCTCTGGCCGAAGGTCACACAGCTAAGCAGTGGAAAAAGCAAGAATTAGAGTCAGAAAGAAGCACTCCAGTATGTGAACTTAACCACTAAACCAAATGTATTGTCATTGAGGGGAACTCTACTTAATATGATTATTTGTTAATTGACATTCACTATCCTAACTTGTCTTTTGCTTAACCTGTGTCTACAGACTATGCTTCATTACTACCGCTCTATTTTGAGAGGAAAAGAATAAATCTTGTGTTTATATTTTCGACTTAACTGCTTCAAGCTATAAAGCAAACAGACAAGTCTTGTGCCCAATGAGGAAAGAAAGATTCCCCAGTAAACAGTCTTGACTTTTAGGGTGAAATGGAACCAAGAAAACACAGATGAGGCTGAGGGAGTATAAGTTTCATATTATATAAACGATGGCAGCCACCCAGCTATGAAGAGAAGAGATTGAGGGGGCTGCATGTTTTTATGAAGAGGGTGGCAAGCATTGAGCAAGCAGGTAGCACCGTTGGGATCTAAGCCCAAATACCTTTGTGCCTTCTGGAAAATTACTCAGACTCTGGTGGTTATGTTACACAAATGTGAAGCACGGGATTTGGATTACATGGTTGCAAAGATTTTCTTCCTGCTCTGAAATTCAGATTTTGTGGTTTGTGAAGCATTATGGTAATACGAAGTTAACTCTCATTTACCATCAACTGCTGACATTTTTCTTCTGTCTTTGAGGTTTTGAAAATTTAATAAATTTGAAATGCATGGTCAAATGATGCAATTTTGAGGTAACTTATTTAAGCACAATTTTTTTTTTCATATTTCTAAGTACATTTCAGTCAGGCAAATTTTTCACTTTTAAACATTTCTGTATCTCTTGCTTATATTTTTAGCCTCCACAGACAACTTCCAAGTTATTTAAAGAAAAAGATTTTTACAGATAATTGCTAAATTTGCAAGTTTATAGGATGCATATCAGCTCTAGAACGAAGAAAACTAATTAGAATCTAAGTTGAAAAATAGCTGCGTCTGCTCAATATCTGATTATTTTGAAGTTCAAAGCTGTACTTTTATTTAAATTAAACTGCTTTTGTGTTTTTCTTCATTTTAGTTTTCAAATTGATAGGCTAGAAAAAGTAACCATTCTAACCAACTCCCATTGAAGTGATTAATTTAAGGTATATCTTATTTCCATGTAAATTAAATTAATATAGTAGAAGAAATGGATCACTCTTTTCTTGTCCGATTACTTTTAATTGGTTCCAGTTTAATAAGCAAACATTACTTTAATGAAGTTTCTGAGTTTATTATGGTATGAGGTTGTGTGCTTGAGTTCCAGTATTAACTTGTCACCTTAGGGCATAACTGCTTTATATACTATGACTTTTTGTCTTTTAGAGACAGAATATAAGTTTACTCTTATGTGACAATTATTATCTTGGGTAGGAGATCCATGAGATATTGAGTACCGTGCAGAGGGCTATTTTAACCTCTGTATCTGCTCAGTGAGAAGATGTGTTGTGACAGACAAGTACTGGAGAGAGAGGAGGGATACAGAGAGAGAGAAAGAGAGACAAAGAGAGAGAGTTAGGGAAGGAATGGCTACAAGAAGTAACACGTGGCAGTTATTTGCCATTGCTGGTATTGTATTTGGAAAAAGCATGGCCCTGGAATTAAAGGAAACCTGGCTGTAGTTCAAACGAGTCAGTGGCTACAAGTATTTTATAGGACAAGATAACTAATCTCTCTGGGTCTCAGTTTCCTCACAATGAGGGGTTGAGCCTGGCGATATTGACTGCTCTGAGATTCCATGATCCTGTTTTGTTCAATTACTGTGAAAATTGACCATAGTCCATTTAGTCCTTGGTAGTTCATTTCAGGCTCATCTTTTTGAATGTGTTGGTAAGAAATATAAGAAAGAGCCTTCCTGAAAATTGAGAGAAAGCCATTCAGGGAGACAATTTTATTCTTTAATAATACCAATTCTGTCCACTTTAGGAAGGTCAGATTAGTTTGTCCTGCAACTCTTTGCTTGAGTCTTTTTTTCTCCCCAGAAGTTCTACATCTTAGAATTTGCCAAAGAGTTGCTCTCTTCCTGTAATTTCTTATATATTGAGAATAAGTGTTCATCTTTCTCATGTATGAGTTTTTAGGTACTTAACTTCTTAATATTTGGAAGTCAATTCAGGGGATGCTATTTTTCCTTTGAAAGAGCTCATAAATATAAAAATATTCAATTTTTTTCTACATTCTTTAAATTCTTTTCAATTCTTGTGATGGATATTTATTTATTTATTTATTTTTTGCAAGAGAGCAAGAGGATTTATTTCCAGCGCGCGCAGGGGCTAAACAGCATCACCAAGATGGGGAGGCTGCCGCCCCGAAGCTCTCAAGCTTAGGGTTTTTATGGGGCGAGACCACACGCAGGTGGCCGGGGAGTTTAGGGTGGGGAAATTCCAGTAGCTCCATCTTGCACAACCAGTTGCACGACCACTACCCAATTCCGAGAACTTGCAAGGGACACTTACGGGAAAAGATAAAGAAAAAGGGAGGGGTAGGGGTCTTAATTACCTAAGAGCAAGCATAGTTACAGAAGCGAAAAGCTGGTTAGGCTAGTTTGGGCCTTTAGACTAGTTTGGGCCTTTAGGCTAGTTTGGGCCTTTCATTCCCCCCTTTTTCTTTTGGAAAGTTTTAATCTTGAAACTACAGGCCTTCATCTCTGGCAAGAGGTTGATAGTGTCGTTGTAGAACCATTAATTGAACTGCGCCGACCTGCTCTCAGACAAACGTCACTAGTCGGCTGAGTATACAAGGCCCAAAGGTTAGGAGCAAGATGAGTATAAGCAGGGGCCCTAGCAAAGTGGAGAGTAAAGTAGTTAACCAAGGGGAACTGTTAAAGCAAGACTCAAACCAACCTGCTTGCCGTTTATATTTCCGTTCGCGGCGGGCAAGCCCTTCCCTGACCTTAGCTATAGATTCTCTAACAACTCCCGTATGGTCTGCATAGACACAACGTTCTTTTTTTGAGGGCAGCAGACAGTCCTCCTTGCTGGAGGAATACTAGATCTAACCCCCTCTGGTTCTGGAGCACTACCTCGGATCAACAGCTGCCCTCAGAGTATTAAACTCTCTTTGCTGCGTTGCCAGAGAAGAGATACTAGTTCCTGCTCCTATTGTCCCTAAGCCAAAAGAGTAGCCAGGGTTATGGCTGTGAAGGGCTCTCTTTCTCTTTTAAAAATTAGGTTGGTGACTCTTCGCCCTACTATGCCTTTATACATTGTCTCCTCAGTGTGGTATATTATTTTTGGGAACACTAACACCATTATACAGTAATCTTTAGACCCATGTAAGGTTATGGGGTTGGTGGGGGTTCGGGGCGGTAAGTACAGCTGTAGGTCTCTATCTTAAAAACATTGGACCAAAAACACAACATCCCCAAAACACAATAACCAAACCCCCCCACCGCGACCCGTCTATGTTTGTCACTCAGTCAATCTTTAGATGCCACAACCCCAGTCCAAGTCTGTGTCAGCGGTCCTGGGCTGTCGCCGCCACTTGGGTCAGTCTGATCTTCAGAGGATTCTTTGGGTCTGCAGTTGCTTTCCACTGGTCCTGGCACCGCTCCTGGTCTTTTTTTTTTATTAGCAGGTCTCACGTGGGAGTGGTGTAGCCAGGTCGCTGCTATTCTATCGACCTTAAGAGCAGTGGGGGTAACAAGAATAATTTGATAGGGGCCCTTCCACCTCGGCTCGAGGGTTCTGTTGTTATGCCATTTCACCCACACCCAATCCCCTGCTGGTGTGGGTGAAACGGTGTCCGGCACCCTCCTCGTCAGGCCGGTAGATAGCAGGGAGGGCCGGCCATACTTGACTGTGGACACGTTGCAGAGCCTGCCTCAGGGCTCATTCTAGGAACTACAGGAGGGAGTGTGCCATACATGATTTCAAAAGGGGTTAAACCCAAGTGATAAGGGGTGTTCCGGGCTCGGAACAGGGCGAAGGGAAGGAGGGTCACCCAGTCTCCGCCAGTCTCCAGGGCCAATTTAGTCAGGGTCTCCTTTATTGTTCTATTTATTAGCTCTACCTGCCCAGAGCTCTAGGGATTATATGCACAATGTAATTTCCAATCTATCCCCATAGCCCGGGCCAGCCCTTGACTAACCTGACTGACAAACGCAGGTCTATTATTTGATCTTATCCCTTCCAGCAGTCCATACCTGGGGACTATTTCTTCTAATATTTTCTTAGCAGGGATTGGGTGAGTGACCAACGTGGCCCTTGGTCGACTCCATTTGTTTGCCTCAAGTGGCTTCCGGCCCCGGTTGCACGGATTGGCAACGGTAACCCTAGGTAAGTATCCGTCCGTCTGTCTGTGCTTTGTGTGCAAAAGCCAAGTGGCCCTTCGGCCTATTTGTCTACCTGTCCTGCGTGGGGTTTGTCGTCCTTTTCTCTTATAATTCTCCTTTTTAACCTTATCCAGGAATTATGGGCCAAGGGAAGAGTAGCCCCTCCTCCTCCCTCCACGCCTGACACATTGGCGGAAGAAGTACGAGACTGGCCCCACACCCTGTCCGGCATCATCCGGAAGGGCCCCTGCACGACGTTTTGTGCCTCTGAGTGGCCTCCTTCGGCGTGCGGGTGGCCCTCAGATGAAAACTTTTAACCTTTCTGTTATTTCCTGCAGTAAAAAAAGAAAATCGTTTGCACCGCACCCCAAGGACACCTGATCAAGGTTCCCGTATATCAATTGTCTGGCAGGACCTCACCCAAAACCCTCCTTCTTGGTAAGATGCCGGTGCCATCACGCCCTTCTCTCGCCCCTAGTGTGCCCAGATGGCTCCATCAGATCCCAGCTCGGCTGACCTCTACACTGAACTGATCCCCAGGCAGAATCCCTCCTCCTGGAATCCGCTCCCCACCCTATGTCCCCTCCAGTCGCAAGGCGACAGTGATATCCGGAGACAACCCTCTCCTACTCCTAGTGCCTTGGGCCGGACCCTCAACCATAGGGGCTGTGGGCTGGGCTGTCCCCCAGCCCTGGCCGGAGCTGCCTGCGCCTGCG